CCAGTTAAGCTTAAGATCATAGACATAAGAAACGATTTTGTGAACAGTATGTTAAGGATTCAACACAATATACAACTGAAACTGTACGTTTGTCTTGTAATCCAAATATTATATTTGTGATCTGACTGACAGTTATCTTCAAAAGATGATCATGTGAATACTTACTTACTTACGCCTGTTACTCCCAATGGAGCATAGGCCAACGACCAACATTCTCCAACCCACTCTATCCTGGGCCTTCCTTTCTAGTTCTAACCAATTTTTGTTCATTTTTCTCATGTCTGTCTCCATTTCCCGGCGTAATGTGTTCTTTGGCCTTCAGGATTTCATGTGAGGGCTTATCTTGTTGGGTGCTTTCCTCAATGTGTGTCCTATCCACTTCCAGCGCTTCTTCCTCCGCTGGGATCTGGTTTGTTCCTTCCCATAGTAGGTTGTTGCTGATAGTGTCTGGCCAACGGATCCGAAGTATTTTGCGTAGACAACTGTTAGTAAACACATGTATTTTCTGGATGATGGCTTTCGTTGTTCTCCAGGTTTCCGCCCCATACAGTAGAACTGTCTTGACATTTGTATTGAAAATCCTGACCTTGGTGTTGGGTGACAGTTATTTTGAGTTCCAGATGTTCTTCAGTTGTAAATATACTGCTCTTGCTTTGCCTATCAGCGCCTTCACATCTGCATCAGATCTACCATGTTCATTAATGATGCTCTCCAAATATGTAAAGGTTTTTACATCTTCCAAATCTTCTCCGTCAATTGTGACTGGATTGGTGCATTATGTGTGTTGTATCGGAGAATCTTGCTTTTCCCTTTGTGTATATTGAGACCTACTGCTGCTGAGGCTGCTGCTACACTGATCGTCTTCTCCTGCATTTGTTGTTGCGTGTGCGATAGAAGAGCCACATCATCTGCAAAGTCTAGGTCGCCTAACTGCATCCTAGATGTCCACTGTATCCAGTGCTTCCCTTCAGATGTTGACGTCTTCATGACACAGTCGATCACCAGGAGAAAGAGTGAGGGTAAGAAACCTTGCCTGACACCGGTCTTTACTTCGAACGACTTTGTCAACTGTCCTCCATGCACGATTTCGCAGTTTAATCCATGATAAGAACTCGGTATAATATTGACTATCTTCTCAGGCATGCCGTAGTATCGAAGAAGCTTCCATAGTGTTGTCCTGTCCACGCTATCAAATGCTTTCTCGTAGTCAATGAAGTTGATGTAGAGTGATGAATTCCATTCAATTGATTGTTGTCCAATGATCCGTAGTGTTGCGATTTGGTCTGTACACAATCGATCCTTACGGAATTCAGCCTGTTGATCTCGAAGTTGGACGTCTACGGTGTCCTTCATTCTGTTTGACAACATCCTGTTGAAGACTTTTCCTGGTATTGAGAGAAGAGTGATGCCCCTGTAGTTGCCACACTTGATGAGATCACCTTTCTTTGATATCTTGATCATATGTCCTTCTTTCCAATCTGTTGGTACTTGTTCTTCATCCCAAATCTTGCTGAAGAGAATATGGAGTATCCTTGCAGTTACTGCTACATCTGCTTTCAGTGCCTCTGCTGGAATATTGTCTGGTCCTGTTGCTTTGCTACTCTTGATTTGTCTGATGGCCATGCTGATCTCTTCAATTGTTGGTGGGTCAACAACGATTGGGAGGTCCATGGGTGCTAATTCGGTGTTGGGTGAGTTCAGTGGAGCTGGTCGATTCAAGAGTTCTTTGAAGTGTTCTACCCACCTGTTTTGTTGCTCTTCAATGTTGGTGATTACCTCACCTTCCTTGCTTTTCACTGGTCGTTCTGGTTTACGGTGATTTCCAGAGTTTCTTTGTTGTGTCATACAGTTCTCTCATGTTTCATTCTCTTGCAGCCTTTTCCGCCGTCATTGCTAAATCTTCCACATATTTACGTTTGTCGGTTCTGATGCTCCTCTTCACTTGTTTGTTTAATTCTGTGTATTCAGCTTGTGCCTTGGCTTTCTCTGCTTTTGTTCGTCTGGTATTGATTGCTGCCTTCTTGTTCCTTCTTTCTTGAATATTATCCAGTGTATCAACAGTGATCCATTCCTTGTGATGGTGCTTCTTGTGGCCCAGGACCTCATGACATGTTGAAGTGATTGCCTTGTTGATCCTCTTCCAGTTGCTCTCCACAGTAGTTCCTTATCCATTGAGTAGATCATGAAAGGCCTGGAACTTTTTGCTGAGGACTATCTTGAATTTGTTGAGTTTGTCAGTATCCTGAAGAAAGGCCGTATTGAACTTTTGTGATATTATCCGCCCCATTGTCAAGTGCTTCTTGAGTTTCAATTTCATCTTGGCGACCAGCAAGTGATGATCTGATGCTATATCAGCTCCTCTCTTGGTTCTCACGTCTTCCATCGTCCTCCTGAACTTTTTGTTGATGCAGATATGGTCGATTTGGTTCTGTGTAGTGTGATCCGGTGAAGTCCATGTGGCTTTGTGTATGCGTTTATGTGGGAATATAGTGCCGCCTATGACCAGTTTATTGAAGGCACATAGGTTTGCAAATCTCTCACCATTTTCGTTCCTTTCTCCCAGTCCGTGTCGTCCCATGATGTCTTCATATCCAGTGTTGTCCATTCCAACCTTGGCATTAAAATCTCCCATCAGAATGGTCAGGTCCTTTGTTGGGCACTTCTCGACGATTGACTGCAGCCTATTGTAGAATTGATCTTTAGCGTCTTCATTGTAGTCGTTGGTAGGCGCATAGCATTGGATGACGTTCATTGTAATGCCCTCTTTCTTTGTTTTGAAGGAGGCTTTGATGATCCTGGGTTCATGAGATTCCCATCCTATAAGTGCATTTTGTACTCGTTTGGACAGCATCAATGCAACTCCTTGTGTATGTGGGGCATTTTCTTCTTCATGGCCGGAGTATGACACGAACTCTCCTGAAGTTAGTCGTTGTTGTCCAACTTGCGTCCAATGTGTTTCACTGATCCCGAGCACCTCTAGGTTGTATCTCCTCATTTCTGCAGCGATTTGGAAGGCTCTCCCGGTGTCCCACATTGTACGAACATTCCATGTACCTAAATAAATGGTTGCTCTGGTTGTCAGAATGGGCATAGGCCTCGTAACTTCCGAAGGAACTCGGCTTTCATCATGACGCGTCATAGTTCTTCTTAATAAAGACCTGATTTCCAGGGCAGAGTTTAAAAGGTTCGAATAATTTTCTTCTGGTTAGCGTTGTTTTATCGAGTTAGTTTTCTATGGGATGGGGTCGCTAACCCCATTTCCAACCGTTCTCCTTTATCCGGGCTTGGGACTGAGAGTAGCCCCAGAGGGGCTCCAGGCGGATCATGTGAATACCATGTTTTAAAGTAAACTTCATACATGGAAATCGTGAATCCGATTGAAATTATTTCAATGCAATTCTAACTTTTGAGATAAATGCACAAATTCAAAAAGACAGGTTCACATATCAGTGCACGAACAAGTACAGTCAAACAGGGACAATTAGACCATCGAGTCTATTTGAAAAATTAGGTAGGTTAATATCTTGTGGTGGTCGGTATTCAATATAATCATTAAACTTCGTATACAGTTAGTTTTGATAACCGTCACTAGATAACACCCCAACGGTATATTGATCAGAAGGCGAATACGAAGTGTTATGTTTAATATGGGACCACACACAAATATCCAAAATTACAGGTGCGTTAAACAAGCATGAAAGTGTTGTGCCGAAAGGCAAGCGAGCGAGCGAGTGAGTCAGAGAATATGGGTACGAGTAAGCAAGTACACTTAAGCGAGAGAGAGCAATGAACATGAATAACATGGACAAATATATACATAGTGAAATGAATGAATCATCGAATCAATTAAGCGGTTAGTAGTAAGGCTAGCAGCGTGAATAAATGCGTAGGCAGTAAGCAATGCTCAAGCATACATGTTCATACATTCGCAACAATAATAAAGATACAATGATATAGATAAGTTGATGCTGTACCGATGACTCAGTTCGTTAATAAGTTAACAAAATGACTTGACCGAATTAAATGTGAACCAACTCAGTTGCGCGTGAGTTGCTATAATCTCATCCCTTCAGACACCTGGGGTGATTAGCCAAATTCCCGCCCTTTTCGAGGCAGTCATACTCACACCTGGCTTTACAGTAACTGTTTCTTTGATAAACCTAAACACCTATTACGTGAAGGCTAGCATAGAGACTTTTTTTATTTTTCTTTGTTGTTGTCTATTACCATTATTAACAATCTTTGTGTAGACATTTCGATAACCTACATTTAAGTTATTTTTATGCCAATTTATATAAAAGAATATATCATATTTACACTAAAAATGCCTGAAGTTACCTAAAGCTGAGGATATGTTTATATTAGGTGAGCCTATTTAATGATCCTACTGGGATAGTAGACAAGTGGTTATCGAAGCCAAGTTTTTACAGATACATAAACTGGAAATGGGTTTAACTCATTTATAGTTGTTTAAAGAGTTCACACATTGACGATAGTGAATGTGACTGATTATGGGGGAAGACGAAGCAAAACGGAATAAATCCGGAGGCATTGCCGCCTCTTCGGAACACATGATCACCAGTATTCGAACTAGTCGTAATAAAGCAACAGTACAGTAAAAAGATAATGCTTGATATGGAAGTTGCTATAATAAAATTTATGGAGCAAGTTTAAACCGGTGTTACAGTATAAAGATCCGATGGACAGAATCAATTCGAAGGAAAATAGACTATATGAAGTTAAAGAAGTGATTTTCCCACTTTTTATGCCTGTCATTGATCTCTGATGGTTCGTAAAGTACATAGTTAAAACCTAGACTATGTTTTAACGCAACCTATTTATCGTAGCATACATCTAGATCCAAACAAATCATTGATACTGAAGATACCAAGCATGTGCACTAAGTCAAGTAATGACGACAAGAAACAAGAATGAAAATATCACAACTAAGGGCTACGCTTCTTTCATGGAAAAGTGTATTTTGTACATTTCACAAAAAATCACACTGACGATCTCAATTCAAAATTGATAAGTCTTCGAAGTAGCTCGCGATTGGATGCAGTAACGCGATCAATTTCTTGTCTTAAAACTTTATGCTCTTCACTTCCCAAACTGTCAAGTTTTATTTGGCTCATACCTGAAACAGGGTAAAAATCATCCATAAAGATACTTGCTTCTTCTGATGAAAAATTCGACTTCTGTAAAAGAAAACAATATAGAATAAAAAAAGTGATGCATGTTTTCCACAAATGTATGTATTTAAAAATGAAGTTTTCTAAACTACATAATACAATATGAAGGGTTATCATAGTGTATAGATGATTACTTCACATATCTTACATAGAAATGAGACAATTATTCTTATTACCATTATTACTATTACACATGTGGTTATAAAAAAAGACTAATGAGGTGTGGCAACTCGGACCGATGCATATATGTGCCTGGTCCTATGTTGTAGCTGACTGACTGATAAAGATTATATATTTTTACAAGGTGAGTGTGAAGACGAAACGTCCTTTGTCGGCTGAACAACACGTTTCAAAGAAGAACTGTTTAGTAGTACGTACTATCTGAAAATCCACAAATTTATTGACATATGTATGTGAATGAGAAAAAATGACCGAACCACTTAGATGAGCAAGTAAAAACATGTCATAAATCTTTAATTTTATGGCTAGCAAATTTTTAGGCTGTGGGTTTTACCACAGCTTTAGCACATGAAGATTAGTAATCAGTCCTTTGTCAGTTGAACACAAGAATGATATTATGTTTCACAGACTATAGTCCAATAAAATCAATACTAGAAAAACGAGTCTTCAACTTTACGTGACTCCCGTTTGACGATTTATCAAATTAAAGACAAACTATGGTGAAAAGTATGAAATATTGTACTTTACAACCACTATCATTAGATGTAATAGTTCGAAAGTAATATGGTGATTAGAGATGTGGACTCGCTGTTTGCTTTATAACCATTTTGATACTTTATTATATGAATTATTCGGTTAATAATTAATTTGTATTTCTGGGTATCGTAACAGTTCCACATACCTGCTCTACATTCGTAGTTAATGCGGCAGACATTCTATCCGCTGAAATTTATTTTGGCAGAAATTTTGAAATAGGTTACGAGTCTAATACCTGTCTGTTCGGCTATATCGTTCAGTCACCGATTATCCGATTATTTTATTGGCTAGTCCTAACGTTAAAACGGAAAGGTAGAATTATATTGCTATTCTACTACTAGATAGCTTGTTGCCCACGGAATTGTGTTTTTAAGAGGAAATACAGTAATTTAAACTTACCTCTGCTAATTCAGGTATGCGGACACACACTGTATCATCAAGCCTCCAACCAAAGTGGGATTTGAATGGTTCAATAAAACATGTCCGAGGATTAGAAGAGTTCAAACCTCCATTTTGATCTGTATAATGATCGGAATTGGATGAAGTTTTAGCATCAACTGATTCTATTCCAACGGTATTAGATAACCAATCAGGGCGAGGTATTAAACATAAACCTGTCAAACAAGTATTTGTTGAATCGTTGGTTATGGACGGATTAAACACTGAGAACCGCTGTACGCAAGTGAGTAACGAGTCAGGTCTTAGTATTTCAATTAGCCCAAAGCGCGCACCTACCACTAACATTTCACAATTCGGATCCATCGCCATCATAATTATTGCTTTTTGTGAAGCTGAAAAACTAAAGAGTGGGAAAATAGTTAACTTAATTCGGGCTTACAGACAGCATGTGTAACAATTTTTCAAAACTTAGCGGCATTCTAACCACTTGAGTGTGGTGCCATGAACTAATAAACGAAACCAATAGCTGGATACTGTGCACAGATCGACCGATCTCGTTAACAACATTACTGATACCAAAAAGGATTTCAAGTTCATAAGATTAATATCGAGGACATAAGTGATTTGCTGTGATGCGATGGAATCATTTAGATACTCCTTCGTTTATTCTTATGATAGCTTAAGAATAACAAATCCTATTGACTGGGATCATGAGTCAATCGATGTCAGACCTGAACGGTCCCATACTAGGACGAAATGGTCGTCTAGTGCTTCCAGGTTTTTAATGGTGGTCCGACATCAATCGACTAGTGATCTCAATCAAAAACTTAATCTCCACAACCCCATACTGATAAACTCCTATTGGTTGGTCAACTGACCTCAAGTATATGTACGTTAAATAACATCAAAAGCTAGTTCAGTAATCTGAAGAAAAGTCTTTGAAATTTCCTAGGTGATTCAAACATTACACTAGTGGAAGGTCTGAAATAGTTCCCGAATGTTAATAAATGGGTATACGTACTTTGTCAAATTTATAAATAAACGTATGTCAAGAGTTCGGTAGATAACATCCAATATGAAGCATGTTTCTTAAATCTCGTAGATTAAGTCAGTTGATTTTTTGGTTTAACAGCTTAGCTACGTGACTTAACGATGTCGGGTGATTAATCTTTTGCCAACTCCTTCCAAGTAACCAATACTGACCCATCAACAGTTGACGTTTGATATAGCTTGGGGCGATTTGGGGTTTAAATTGTACAGATAGTTGAGAAGAAATGTGAGGATAATAGAGTCCCTGAATTCCTATCCAGAGAAATGAGTGGTAGAAAAACCAGTTTTAAAGACTATATAAGTTGCCCTGACCTATCACTGTTCGTCGCCAGTATCAACGTCCTTCCATAAACGGGAGAAATGACTCAACTACCACCCACGAAATACCTACGCATGAAAGGGCTCAAGATGTTCCTTTGGCTTCTTGAATGTCTAACACCAATCCAATATCTATTTTAGGAATGTCGAGGTCAGCGGTGAAGTTTGAAAACGTAAATTGCCTACATGATCTTAGCAACAACAAATGTCTTTTATCAACTAATAGTTTTATCTACCATTCTCGAATTCTGAGTCCGCTACTTCTTGTTGTTAATGATGTTATTATTATTCTGAGTCTGTACAACTTAGTTTTCAACTTGTACTAATGACTTCATCCACGAAGTATGATTCATTATTTCTGAAGTAACGCTACCGACTGGGTGTTGAAGCTTTCCATATCCGATCGACATAAAATTTGACTGAAGGAGCCGCTAATTAAATTTTTAGAGCTTTTACCGTGTAATCTTAGAAAGAAGTATATGAAGTTATCCACTTAAATACAATTGGTTGGTTTGGGGAAGCCGTTCAGTGTAATCTATGAGTGATCGGTAATTCAGTAGCTAGGTCCGATGGGCTTGGAGAAGACTGAACTTAAATCATACAAGGATCTTTGTCTGTCTGAGTGGGGGCAAAAACAAACATCGGAAAGTTATTAAAGTACTTAGTTGGGAGATGGTAATATTAAGTTCATTCAAGGAAAAATGACCTAAGTAGTTATTTAAGGATGATTACTGTTAGTGTAATTCAATCGGTATAAACTCGAAACAAACTGCTTTGAGGACAATGACAGGAGAACCTTATGGAACCTTCTTCGACACTATAGTGTGCCCCAGAAGGCTCTAAACATCACACGGAATTCATACGACGGACTACGCTGCAGAAAGTAGTGCATGAAGGACAGCTGACAGATGTATTCCAAGTGAAGTTTAGTGTCAGACAAGGCTGCTCACTCTTTCTCTTTCTTCTGGTGGTCGACTAGATTATGAAGACCTACACATTTCAAGGGAAGGACGGAATACAGTGGACAACTTGCATGCAACTAGACGATTTGGACTTCGCAGATGACCTAGCTCTTCTATCCCATAAACACCAACAAATGCAGGTAAGACAACCAGTGTAGCAGAAGCCTCTGCAGCAATAGGCCTTAACATAAAAGGTCAACTAGACTGGAAACGGGGTAAGAGGAGATAAGGATAATGATAAGAGTAATAATAATAATAATGTGAACACAATTCATAACCTAATCACTCTGGATAATAAGTCAATATTACCAGGGTAGGTTTAAAGTAAAAGAAAAAAAGGTTTTTGAACACACAAACGTTCAAGTAAATTACAACTGAATATTTCAAATCTCATTCGACTGTCGAAATCATATATAGATAATTGCCAAGACAAACTGATCAATTTAATTGAATTACACACTCAAGCATTGCCTATATTAAAGGAAATATCTCTAGCCTGCCATAGTATTATTACTAATCAAGGTAATTTATTCTCAGTTAATCCTGAAAAGTATGTCACTAATTTATCTTCCATTATATTATCTGCTAATGGAAAGGAAGCACCTTCTCTTGGTTTTAATTTCTCGGTCCCAATAACGGAAATGTCTGAATTGGAAATAAATGGCCAATTTGAAAATCTATACGATCAACTGAGTACTCTGACCCCTACATCTTTAAATAATCAAAGCTGGTGTAAAGCTAAACTGGTGGATATAGCACACCAATTTCATAATGTTGGACCAAAGCAGAGAAGCATATTAACTCAGCATTTTAAATCATTAAAAGAACTACGAACAAACCCTGATATTGTCTTGTTAAAACCTGATAAAGGATCAGGCGTAGTTATCATGAATAAATGTAAATATAAAAGTAAGATGTTATCCATCCTCAGTGATGAAAGTAAATTTATGCCTGATGTTGAATTTGGAGGTATTGGCAAACTAGAAGGAAGAGTAAATTCAAACCTATAAAAATTGCTACGCATGAATATTATTAATAAAGAGGAATTTAATTTTCTAAAACCTATGGGTTACGAGTACCCTCATTTATATGGACTACCTAAAATCCACAAACTTAACGCTCCTTTACGTCCAATTCTATCAATGTGCAGATCGCCTATACATAACCTGGCTAAATGGTTAAGAAAGTTGTTGGACCCTATTCGAAGACATCTACGTAAGTATTCTCTAAAGGATTCTTTTGAACTGGTCGATCATTTAGGTGATATTAATATCAAGGAAAAGACAATGCGTTCATTTGATGTGAATTCCTTGTTTACAAATGTACTTTTGAAAAACACCATTGATGTATTGTGTGATTACATATCTGTAAACAATCTTAAATTATGTGTCCCCTTAAAAATTCTTAAAGATTTATTGTTACTATGTACTGACAAAGTTCAGTTCACTTTGAAGGTGAATACTTTCGTCAGATTGATGGAGTTGCTATGGGTAGTCCGCTAGGACCATTATTAGCAGATGTGTTCATGGCACATGTTGAAAATCAGACTGATGAACTAATCGGAAACATGTCACTTTATAAGAGATATGTGGACGATATCTTAGTTGTTTGTGAGAGAAAAGAGGATATGTATTGTTTATTAAATAAACTTAACACTCTCCAAAACCATATTAGTCTCTCATGTGAAGAGGAGAAGAACGATCAGCATCCCTTCCTAGATATACTTCGGAGTAGACGAGAAGATGGCTGAGTCAGGCGATCTATTTTTAGAAAACCAACGTGGACAGGTCAATATCTTAGTTATTATAGCTATTGCCCTGTGCAATACAAACGTGGTTTGATAAGGTGTCTTTTCAACAGACTCGATCGTATTTGTACAAACGACGCCATTGATGATGATGTTAATTTGCTAAATAAAACGTTAATAGAAAATGGCTATCCTCTGAAATTCATAAATAGATTGAAAGTCCATGGTACAGCGAGACCTACTGTAGCTTCGGTAGAGAAAAAAGACTGTCTACATCACCTTACCATTCAGAGGTGATTCAAATAGCCTTTTATTGAAACAAAGACTTAAATCAGTCATCAATAAAACGTATTGCGCAGCAAAGGTCATCATCAAAGAAAGAACAAGGTGCATGCTTCATTCAAAACCTAAAGTACATGAAAACGATTGCGTCACATCCCACTGTGTTTACCAATTTAAATGTGTGTGTGGTCACACATACATAGGGAGGAGCAATCGTGATCTCAACATTAGGGTGAGTGAACATGTACCCAAATGGCTGCAGAAACAAATACAATCAGGTGACCGAACAAGAGCAGAGGATAAACATCCATCATCCTCTATTGCTAAACATATAATTGAAACAGGTCACAAGATTGATCTAAACTCAGCTTTTGTGGTATTGCACAAAAGTGTAAAAGGGTGTATACTAAGGTTTATTGAAGCCTTAGCCATACGAAAATTCAACCCCCCTTTGTGTGTTCAAAAACAGTTTGTTCTTACCTTAAACCTACCCTGGTAATATTGACTTATTATCCAGAGTGATTAGGTTACGAATTGTTTTCACAGTATTATTATTATTACTCTTATCATTATCCTTATCTCTGTATTATACTCTTTAAGTAACATCTCCAAACACTAATCTTCCCGATTACTGCTTATACTCTTATTACCTCTACTACTACGGGATTTGAATCGACCACTGCATCTCTATGCTAATGTGGTGTGGCAACTCGAACTGATGTACGTACGTACGAAGTTCTACGTTGTTACTGACTGACTGACTGACTGACCTCATCTCCTCTTACCCCGTTTTCAGTCTAGTTGACCTTTTATTTTTATATATAAATGCTCTTAACAAGTATATGTGTGATCAGATTGTTCAAAATGTATTGCGCTAATGTATTACATAGTTCTGATAATCTTCGTCTTCTAATTACATTATTGAAATTTATAAAAGGGACTAATTGTTTTAAAAATTTTAATCACCTCAGTTGAAGATTTACTACCTCATTAATTGACTTGTCATGCTTACCTAGTACTGTATGACCGATCTCGTGGTCGCTCACTCGGTGATCCCAAAATACACAAGCGACGCTTTGAAGACACTTATGATCGAATACTAGTAACTTATGAATATCCTCTATCGTTAACAACCATGTTTCACATTTACAAAGTAGAATGGAGAGAACTGTTGTGCAGTAAAGTCATCCTTTGGTGGGAAGACAGATATCTCGCCTACGCCACAAGTGACACAGGTTGGCTGAATCCAATCGAGCTTTCTTAATCCCCGCCGAGGTTTCTTCGGACAACAGAGCACCAGGACTAATGAACATCCAAAGATAAATTAGGAGGTCGATACAGTAAATTACTTCACCCCTATTCTCAACACAGGCAACTCCTGAAGCAAATTTTTGTATTTGGTGAGAGAGAATCGAATCTTCAACATGCTTGCATTGTTGCTTAAGGTATTCAGAGGACCACCTTTTCATGGTCTTCATTGAACAGAACTACATCGTCTGTATATTCTAAATCAACAAGAGAATCTCGTGAAAGATCGATTCCCGATAAGTAAGGATGATCAGAGTCCAAATATTTGCTCCAAAACGGGTGGTAGTCTTCTATATAGCCTTTTCAACGATGGTTGATGGCAATGTAGTTGAGTTAATTTCACTGTTGGGTTGCCATGTCAAACAATATTTTCCTTTTTGTTTGAAGTTAGTGGTTGCTAGAAATAAACGGTAATCTGCGGAAATTTGCAGCAGCTTGCTGCTATTAACTATCTGCTGGGTCAAGAAGTACCAAAAGACCAACCTAAGTGCCTTTCAGTTTGGTCTAGACTACCTGGTTGGACATGAAAGTCATCAACCACTATTATTACACTTGAGCGTTCAGCTTTTTGAAGAACGGTAAGCTTACATAAAATCAATTTTTTATTTCATCCCAACTGCAATCAGTGGGAGGGTAGGAAATTGCGTGTCTCCCTGTTTTTTAGACCTTTCACTGTCCTGTTTAGTCGTTCAGTGCACACATGACTGTCTCCTGAAAAATTTTACAACTGCTTGATTCTTTTCTATTCCCGACCTAAATGAGTTTCTGTTATTTTAAAATCCTCCGTTTGACTTTTTTCTGCTGTAAAGCATGGCAACTTGAACCGGTATTTTTAAAGAAGACTATATTGATTAGCGTTTGGCGATCATTTAACATTGAAAAACTACTATGTCATATCAGTTAAATAAATTAAAACCACATTCTAAGTTATGCAAATATTAGGTTTAGCGATTGTCATTACAATGCCAACTTTTTGAAAATAGCATTATTTTAATGAACTTAAAATTAGTCAAAATAAGTAAGGAATATATATCCTAAAAGGCTATAAATTAAAAATTTAATGACGTATATTAGGATACGCAATTATAAGTGACTAAGACATATTGGTGATTACTATCCAGCTACCGCTTACTTAGATTTCAGGTCTACAGTAAGTTCTTTGGCAACAGGGCAGCATTACACTGTCTACCGACGAACTCTTCTGAAGACTAAGAATTTACACAGAACTTAGTTAATGAACTCACTATTAATCACCTTTTCCCACCTAACAACGAGTACAAGCAGACAACTTTACAAAACGTATATCAGTTTTACATTGGCATGAACACAAAGAAAGTATTATTGCATGACCAGAAAACGAAACAGAAAGTAAATATGTAATTCAAAAACTACATACATGCATATGTATTAAGCTACAACCCACACTTGATGTATAATGATGGGCTTCACTAACTTCCTATCTAAACAAATTTAGGTAAACTGAATTCAGACTTTTGACCGAATAACTACAAGTTCATGTAGTCCAGTTAATGATTCATATTCTAACAGAGAAAGACGATCAAAACAAACATCACATGATATAAAGTTTTGCATTTGATGACTTCACGAGGTATTAGCAATATTAAGATATATGAACATGAATTAATTTGTGTAGAAAAAAACGCTTACTTGGAGTCAGAGAAACAATGATGTATTTCCTTATCTGCAGAATAGCAACCCTATTAAAAAAGAAACATTAGAAATGCAAGTCATTCACTACCTAGAACCATACCTCAGTTGGGATTAAATCCTACTGATCGTAAGTCTATCAAGAAAATAAATGCATATAAGTCTTACACTGAATGTAATCAAGGTGTAAAATCTGAGGTAATACCACCGGTAGTAACTGAGAAACCCAAGTGTCAACTAATGAAGTTATCAGCCAGAAAATCTAAACACAGTTTATCTGCAGTTTAAAGCTAAGGCCAAAACTGCATTAGCTGAATGACCACAGAACAACGTAACGTTAGGAATACTTAGTTAGGTATCCATAGCAGGATGTACTTGTACAAGGCTTGGATAGCCAAAACTGAAAAATGTAGGAAAACGTTTGTTGGGCTTTTTGAGAAATAAAATTATCTTGCACATATCTTCATAAATTACAAGTTATCCATAAGAAAAACTCATTATCATCGTATTTCTATTATCAGAACAAATCCCAAGACAAGCTGAGGCAATACTTATTACAAACCTGGAAAATGATAAATATCGACTGAAGCTAGAGATCGATTGCAGAGACCGAATTGTAGAACTGATGCCTTGAGAATGACAATATAATCTAATACATATGAACAAAATTTTACCCGTCAATGTAGTGTATTAATAACTACATTTTAATAAAACGATTTAGATTACTCACAAGTAGCCCGAAAAATATTGAGAAATAAAACCATATGAGGAAATACTAGTTATGACAACGTATCGATAGTTACCTATCTTACCCTTTGAGATTGTATAAAAGCAGTGTATAGTAAACCATCATTCCCACCACAAAATAGATTTCCATTGTTGTCAGGTGAAGGACAAAGACTTAACAGCCCACCAGAAACGTTTGTGAGTAATGATCCAAGAACACAACCATCATACAAAGCATATATCTGCAAAAAGAAATAAGACCAATGATTATTCCAATTGTCTATCAAAAAGCATATGCTAAGCAGATATGCAGTGGATTAGAATGATAACTCAACGAGTTGTCATGATTTTAGGTGCAGATACTTTTGAAACTTATTAACAGTCGTTTTCCTTATTAGTCTTATTTAGTGTAGATTGAACTCTTCATGATAAAAAGTATATGACACGACTTCGAATCAAGCAAACACGGTTTTAAAGGTTAGCCTAATTCTGGTTGGCAATAAGCATCGGCAATTTTTACAGGTGTGCCACCTGACGTCCTCCCTCTGCATTTCAAACCTGGACTCAGATTGATCACATCGCGATCAACTACCATTGATGCGGGTATGTACAACACTGCTGCTCCTTTTGGATTACATATCTGGGCTCTGGTCATGCTCTTGTTTGAGTTAATCTTATCTCACGTTTCAGTGGCCAACAAATCCACAGCCCTAAACCGATGGATGTCAGCGAATTGGTTACAGCTTCTGTTGCGACTAAATATCAAACCGGGCTAGGTTCAAAGCTAACTATCAACCCACCTAAAAGTATAGATATGCACTGGCTGCACATGCATGTCATTATGGAAACGACGAGTACAGTTGCTTACAGCTTCGCGAAACTTCCCGCTTATAAGTAATGGGTTTCTGCAGGCTCCTTAAAATTTATTGAGGGATGACAGTCTACTCCGGCTAACCGTGAGTTTGACGATAAACGCAGGCTCTTACCTAATGAAGTTGTGCAACATTCGAGCAGAAGGGCTTCCAAACCTCATCACTCATCTTCGACTTTACCATCGATGACTCCCTAAAAACAGCCCTGATGGATGTAGGTAATGGTGGTGAGGATCTGTTGCTTGGAGAAAAACTTTCTGACCTTGAGTATCCTGATAACATTGTCTTACTGCGCGATGATACCCAAACTATCCAATCCACACTTAGTCAGTTGCCAATCAGTGTCCGTAGTTATGGCATTTGATTTGCACCTTCCAAGTCCAGAGTACTCTGACAAGACTAACAGGACTCGATGCCTACACTCACTCTTGGTAGTGAGCAGTTAGAAGTAGTTGAGAAGTCCGTGTATATGGGTAGTTGTGTAAGTGCTGGTGGTGACATGAGTAATGAGATCAATTCATCTATAGTAAAAGCCAGAGTGTCTTATGCCAATCTAGGTCATGTTTGGCGCCTTTGTTATGTTAGCCTGGCTGTAAAAGTTCGGATTTACAACGCGTAGGTGAAAGTAGTTTTGCTATATGCTTGTGAAGCCTAGCCTCTCTGAGTTGATGTTGGACGACTCTGTGTTTGATCACCATTGTCTCTGAAGGATTGCTGACGCCGAGTGACAACACCATGCTAGTAATGAGGAGGTTCGAAAACATGTGTTCGGGCACCATCTTGAAACACCGACTTTGGTGGCTTGGGCATGTCCTACGAATGTCGTCCGATAAAATTTCACATCATGCATCATTTGCCGACACTGGGACTGTTTGAAAAAGCGGAGAGGTGGTCAGTAATGACATGGTGTCATGGTATGAAAGAAAGCTGTACATGACTGGGATGTTTTGCTTTTTCACCACTCCCTGGTTGGGGTCCTAGAGAAAGTCCAGGACAGTGGCTAGAAACTTTATCAGAAATGGCTGTAACTTTCTTCATAAAAGTGCTAGTCATTTCTTTAAATAAAAAAATTCTTTCTCGTTGCATTTTTCTCAACTGAACCGTTTCTCTCATTATTTCACTCCTATACACTAAGTCCTATTCATTTTATTTTTTTATTATGTTCACTTTCCTTCTTCCATCTCGTCACCTCATTTTTACTGTAAGGTGTACATATATTCTGGTGCCCCCTTGTATCAACGTTTGTGTTTAAAATAAGTAAGTAACGCTGAATGGACGGTCAAAACAAGCAGAATCTTCTGACTTTATTCGTCAATAACGGAGGTTTCATAATCTAGAAATGTTTACTTTCTTGGAGTAACTTAAATTCGTAAACAAGTGTTTTTGTGTACGTCAGTCCTAATTGACATCCAAACTGGCAAACAAATCTAGAGCCAGTATTACGCTTTACGAAGAAAACGACACCTAATGACAGTGAAGTAGTAAAAATTGTCCGCAATGGAGCTGACCTCACTAATAAGGTGATACTTTTGACGTTGATGATTATGTAAGTAAATGTTAACTTCCTCAATAAATGGGTGTCAATATCTTGGTTGCAAACACTGGTATTTCTGTGACTCGCCTGACGCATCATTGTGTTCATGGGACACTAATAAAACAGTTTTCTCTCCTCCGCTGCACAGCTACATGAAACTTCTGATGACGAATGGAACACGTCATTGTTTGGATAAGTTCCTGCGTTATTAAGAGATAAATACCAACTTACCTTCAGACCTTGTGATCCACCCACGACAACTATATCATCCATAACTGCACATATAGGATGACTAGTACTTGCTTGAATAACATACCAGAGCGGAAGATGTTTGGCACTTGATAGATTGGCATTTGATGAGACTCAACTTCAGTAGCACTCTGTGTATTCATCATGTTTAGTCCGTTGATAAGACTCCCCAAGGACCAACAAGCTAGAAACCCAGATATATCAGCGGAAACAAGAAACGCTGGCCCGTTTGAATTCCATTTGGACAGTTTCATTTCACATATTCTTGCAGAATGGGATCCTTCTAAAACACCCATAAGGCATCCACTCACAGTCTTAAAAAGTTATGGTTAGTGTGTTAACCTACCTGGTATACATAAATTTCCCTATCAAATGCAACGATAATATAATTTCCATCGGGAGTGAAAACAAAAGCACTAACTAATCCTTTCGTCAAAATATTTTTGTGCGCTGAGGTCTAGTAAATACATATAAACAAGAAAAGAATAGATTACAGCACTATTAAAATTCCAAGTCTGTATAATAGGTTTCCTGGCAGCTGCACAAGCCACACCTCCGAAGTACCCGGTGATAGACGATTTCGAAGCCATATCACCAGATAAACTAGCGACTGGGTTTCCCCCTAAAGGATCCCAAACAATTGCGGCATCGACCTGTTTTTCAGTTGTGGTAGTAACCAAAAGCGAATTCATAGCTCAGAATCTAATGAGCTTACACAAGAACAGTATTATTGAGGTCTGTAGAACAGAAATAAAAGAAGAATCTTGTTATGATGTTTTCGGAGACATACAGAAACTAAGGCTGGTATCACAAACTGGGTATTTTAACAGATAATTAAGTAATACGGTCACTTACACAGATGTACTTAATTTATTTTCGTTACAGATTAAACTACATTACGTACTTATAAATCATTATGAGTTCAAATGAACCTTGCATTCAATTTAAAACTCATATCGGTTGAAGAGGCTCCATGATCAATGACATTTCTTGAGAGCTAAGTGATAGTAACAGTAGTTGGTATAAAGGCGAAAATCTAATTTAATGTGATCATGTCAACCGATCACATTATCTCTAGTCTTAATTCCAGTATTGTAAGTAGCACACTGGTAAATTTTGAGATATGGTAGTCGTAAGGACGTAAACCTTGCAGATTTAAAATATACCTTAGCAACTAATCGTAGAAATGAAATGCAGGAAATATGGCAAATGTATGCTGCTGACAACTGAGTGACTTATCAAGTTGAATTATTTGTTACAGTAAACGAGAAAAAGCTAAGGTTAACTACTAGTAGTTAGGCAAGAACGTAAGGTTGGGGTAATGTTAGGATTTCAGATTACAGTGAAGAATATTTTATAGACACACAAACACTCCTGACTATAAACTGAATTAAGGCTAAACAAGTAATTAGGATAGTCTACACCAAGAACATGTTTTTCGAGTAATTCTGCATACATGCCACTGTGTGGTGACACAGCAGATGTTTTTCAATTTTAAATATCTTAAGAGATAAATACGCAGTATGGAAGTTTAAATCTGAATAGACAGCTTAGACGGTCACTGACTAAACAAATTAGTGTGGTGTTTTGGATCCGAAACACTGCCCTTAATTTGTTCTTGAGAATGCGTTGCAGTGGTGTACACCGTAACACGCCTAGTCTTGTCAATATTTATGCGCTAGTTTGATCAAGTGTGAGCAACCTGTATATATATATATATATATATATATATATATATATATATATAATCTTAAGTTACACAACGTTAACAAGTATCTTACATGTATGGTTCGAAAAGCATAAGCTGTGATATTTTTTAAACATTTCGATTATACATGCATATTAAATCAATGCGCTGAGCACTTTCAAAGCACAAAATTCGTTGAGACTGTAATTAATGGACAAAACAATGCAACTAAAGATAGCAAGTTCTGGGTTTTGCGCGAAACTCACTTATCCAAGCAGTCAAGTAATTTCTTAATTACAGCTGCTATCGGTTCGTGATGAAGGCCCTTGCATTAGTTCTTAATTCCAAGTTCTAACAAGTTCCTCATACAAATTTGTAACTATCTTCTGACCTTAGTAAGTAGTCCAACATTAACGTCGCTAAATTGCCGACCATTATTATATACATATATATACATAGAGTCCTGTTCTTTGCAAAGAAAAACATATGTGCTGAAATGGATTTTGAGAACTCGAAAAATTTTTCCACACCAGGAACCGGATTTGTTGAAGCCATAGTTTCTCCTCAAAAATGAACTATCGAAGACCAAGCCACAACTACTTGATTTTCAAAATTAACAACTTTCACAAGGGCCGGTACATACTCACAATAGTGCATCAAAATAAACAATATATCAGTCACAGTCAATGTATAGCACCTAAATATGTTTTCACCATAAGCAGAACAATCTGCGACCATATCTAAAGTATGGGACGTGTACCCCAAAAGAATCTCCTTAACTTAGTTTTGAGATTAGGAAGTAGCTTTGCAAATATATCCAGAATTAATCTTGACTGTGCGCAATGTAGAAATAATAAGGCAGCGCTAAAATATTTCGCGGTACCCACACAGTCCTTGTTTTCTGATTTGTCCTTCCCAAGTCTGTAAAACCGCGTTTACCAATGCATGTGACAAAATACTAAAACAAGTTTCATTCGAAACTCTATCAGGTGATTAGAAATCAAGATAATCTCATACTAATTATCGCGATAAAGAGAAATGCGTTATATGTTATATGTTATATATGGAGTGGGAATGGATAGAATAACAGCATTGTTGCACGTTAATTTGGAAAGGACAGAAGGAAAGATGGACCATGTTAGTCCTGAAAATTGTGGTTTCTTAGTTCATCCAACTTTCTTCCGAAAGCATAGACAGATGAAGCTTGAACTACGTGCTGAGTTAATGAATCAATTTCGTTGATGATTCGATAGGAAAGTCGATAGTCATCTGACAAGTAATTTGATCTGGATTTGTAAAAATTTTCGAAATGTCCTCGTAAAGTCCCCCGACAAGCAAAGCGAAGAGATATCAAGCGCACATTTACCACTGAGTACTTTCAAAAAATGTGATGAAGTCGCCTCTCTATATGATAATGGAGATAAGTTTAGTTAAGCGAGTAGAGCGTGACAAGGGAAACTTACTATCCCAGGAATTGGTTTGTTTGCTGTTTTTTTAACCTTATCCAACAGCTTGCTGTCTCTTTTTGGGCAGAGACTAGCCGTTTGTATACAGTACTCGAGTTTATGACAAACAAATACTGTATGCAAGATAGAAATAATTTTAGCATCGACATGGCCAAAGACCACATGTATTAAAACATAAGGTTATAAAACCTTTGGCAGCTATCGTATGGCAGTGTGCAGTACATTTTAGGTCTTGGCTGACGATGAGTCTTAATTCATTGTGTCTGGACAACAGGTAGCTTACGATTATTCAGCATTCATGTATCTGTACCTTGGTGACCAATATGTATCTTAATGTTAACGTTGGCTGCATCTATAAGTTACTTCTGATCTTTAAGAGCACACAAGTTACTTATAAATTAACAAGACACAAATAAAATTTTCTAAAGTCATGCTGCTTTTTGAAGGAATCCGGTTCTAGTCGATATATTTAAACAACCCTTCCCGAATAATCTTTTCTAAACTTTTAACAATCAAGCTGATTAGGGTTACGGGTCAATAGCTCTCAAGTTTAAGTCTCGCACCTGTTTTGAAGATAAGACTTACAATAACATTCTAAGCTTAATCATAATCTTCCCCACCAGTGATGCCATACTACTGTCTCCTCAAATTTCTGTAATATTTCCTCTTCTTTTAGTCCTTGGGTTTATGTATGAGTATGCGTGTTCAGTGTATTCTATAGACTCCTTAACAAGTTTTTCTTTGTACAACCTTCTAGACTTACGGAGGGTCGCGGTACAAATATTTCGAGCTTCCCGATGTTGAGGTTTTCTCGTCGGTATCCAGTAACTTAAATCTCTACCACATTCTTTACCTCTTACAGAGATGGGTGTGGACCTCTTTACTCAACCACTTCTGGGATTTTCCATAACCCCTCAATGTAGTCCAGAGGATTGCGGTGCCGTGACGTTTACGCACAAATTTCTGAATACGTTACGATCCGTCTCAACGTGGGGACTTTGGCTTCGTTGTTCAATCTACTTGGAATGCTGAGTGTGTAATATCTTGTAAAGTTGCCTTCCATACGTTTGGTCTGACTTAGGCTGACACATACTCGTTATTGGCGGTTATATGAAGATCGATGACTAGGACTGCATGGCCACCTTTGCCTAGAGATGGTATATAATGGAGGTCTGTAATGTCATCCTGATAATCGTTCAACATGAGATCTGTTAAGGATGATTCAGAGTCCTGGTAGCACCTAGTTGCTCCTTTCACGTGTTGCGCATACCGTGAGATCGTCGATGATTGTGGTTGACATGGGTAGTCAGGTTTTCGTTCTGTCCTACTATAAGCAAACCTAACTTTACTATTAAGCTTTCTAATCGTTTCCTGCTAGCTGCCATTCTGAGGCTGGTGGGTAGAAGAAACTTCTTTTGAACTTTCATTTCTAATAGACCACTTTATAGGCTGCACTTCCCTACGTTGGCCTATGTCAGTCAATCTACTCTGAGCTTATGTGAGGTAGCTTCACATTGACTTATGTACCGAACAGGTGAGCACCATTTGGTGTGTCTCGATTACGCTTGGTATTACTCCGTTTAGCAGCACTCACCATTACAATGACTTCGGAGAACAAACTGTTTGTGTCCGAGCAGCATTGCTGACAAAACCGCACACAACTATTTTAACGAACCGTTTAAAAGCCACATGTGTAGGATTCGTGCGAACTTTGTGGTACCATCCTTTGCACTCATTGAACTGCATTACATTTTTCACAAGGTATCGACAGCCTACGCGTTGCTAGTTGCTTTTTTGGACTGTACAGTCATCAGTCCGAGATTTTTAAAGAGTAACTCAATGTAAACAATACCCAGAGACGAAAGAAACTGATGAGGAGGGAAAAGTAAAATATGTAAATCATTAGATCTCAAAGTGCAAACAAATACAAAAGAAACTAATGTACCCAGAAGTGCAGTTGATAAGTTGCTTTTGAAAAAATCCATTTGTTGGTGATTATTTTGACTGAAATAAGTCCAATTAGGGCCAATACAGTGGTCTCAGTGCGTAACAAACGATTAAAACAATAAAATTAGTCCAGTGAGAAAAAATACACCGTCCATTTTAAACAACCCGAGAAAATGTCCAATGTTCAAACGGTTCAAATATTTGTGTCTAGGGAAATAGTTCATGAGCTGACTTCTTGGCTCTCCTCCAGAAACGATCTAGAATATTCCTTTCACTTAAGAATGAAGGGGAAGGATCGATATTTTGCTATTGTGAGAAGACTGGACTAAGTGATAAAAAATTAACTGAAAGTTTTCTTTGTCGAACTCGCCAAAACATGAGCCTGAAGGCGATAGGTTCAAGGCTCGCTCTCAAAACATTTCTAGCTCTGTTAGCGTACGGTCTCAAAATGTTATGGTGATAAAGGGTTTTCTACTATGGAAAGTATAAAGTCATGATGACGCCTAGACCTTTCTCAAGTTGTGAAGATCCTGAAAGCAAACGTTCGATCTGAATGTATTAATTAGAATCTCTTACATGTGAGCTACGATAC